TCTCAGAGAAATGCTTCTGTTTCTTATCAGTTAAACCAAGTTTAAAAAGAATACTCACACGCAAAAACAGTTACATCAATCATCACTGAATTGTTTCAGTGTATTGTAGCCAGGGATGCAGTTAATGTTTTTTTTATTATCAATTAATATGATTTTTTGATTAATGGATGAGTTGTTTAGTCTATAAAATGAGTGAAAAATGTTCCCAATACCAGTGGAAATGTCTTCAAATGTCTTGTTTTATCCAACCAGCAGTCCGTACTCCAATATCCTCAATCAAACACAGAGAAAAGTAACAAATGCTCATATTTGAGCAGCTGGTCCCAAGAAATATTTAGAATTATTCCTTGTGAATGACTTGAACGTTTTTTTAAATTGTTGACGATTCATTTTTTGTTGATCAACTAACTAATCGATTGATCGTTTCAGCACTAAGTGTAACTTACTAACTAATTAAGGTAAACGCACACACACACATGTTCCCCCACACAGTGGCTGTCAGAAACTCCCACTAAAAAGCGAGGAGCTGACAGATGAGTTCTCAAGTAGATCTGTAATCTGACAGGGAGACAGAAATAGACAATCCAAATGAGCAGAGTGAGCAGAGTTGTCACTGATCATTGTTCCCAGCAGCTGATTCACAGGAGCTGCTGGCGAGAACCAGACGAACTGTCAGAACACAAAAAGCTACGATTTTGCACCACCGGGGGTGCTCAGTGTCTGTAGCTGAATAGTCATTTGTGTATGTCCTTACAAAATAACAGCTAGGATTGTGTATGGCCATGTGTTTGTGTGTTCTCATCAAAAGTGAGATGAGATAGTGTTCACCATACAGTATGTTCATTTTGTGTGTGTGTGTGTGTGTGTGTGTGTGTGTGTGAGCACCCAAACAAAAACTCTGCACAGCAGCTTCACCGCCATCAATCATACATCAAACTAAGAGCCGCTCAGATTTTATAGCATAGAACTGTCTATGCCTATCTCTCTCTTTCTGTTTGATCCTCAATTTAAAGTCCAGATGGTTAGTGTGTCTAGTGAGTCGACACCATTATAACTTGTCCATCAACCTGCTTTTCTGGTGCTACTGCAGTTGCATTTGTGTTGTGTTGAATGACATGTAAATCTCTCAACTCCATGTGGTTATTTAACAGTGCCACCATGTGGCGGCAGTGATTGTCTACCTCAGTTTGCGATCCACCTTTGCACTAATGTTGTGCTAATGATATGACTTGCACCACAGTATCTGCCCAAAATCTGGGCAGATAGAGTAATTTATTTATGTATGTATTTAATCTCAAAGAAACAGAAAGAGAAGAAGAAAAAACAAGGGATATTATTAAGAAAGACACTTTAGTAGGTGTTTGGTGATTCTCCACTAGGTGGCGTAGTGAGCTCATAAATGGGTTTACTGAGAAGTAATCACAATGAACAATCATTTTGTTGTATAACAGATTTTCAGGAGGAGATGATGGTCATAAGAGGATACATCTCGTGAAGTAATATATTTTTGTACAAACCTCTCTCTGTTGTAAAAGCTAAATAAATACAATTATAACCAGCTTAATAACAAATGCCCCTTTGCCCCCCATGATTCACTATAGTCAGTTATTTTGGCAGTAGACAATAAGGGAAGATGATTGTTTGTCAGGCATGTGAGATGTGACACAGTCTGTAAACCGGTCAAACTTCTGTCTTGCTCTTGCGGTCTTGATTCTGTTTTTCTCTCAACCAAAATAATTCTGAGGAAATTGATTGTTGTTCCTTTTAAAGTGGGGAAAAGTGCTTTCTTAGAGCTAATTTCCTACGTAAATAAAGATGTGTGAGAGGGGATGGCAGAGTTATGAAATTGCCAATTTCCCCATTGCTCTGCTCTTTTCTCATCATCTTATTTTAGTCCGTCTCTTCCTCAGTTTCTTTGTTTGTTTTTTCCTGTCCTTGTTTTAGCAGCGGTGGATGTTGTGTAACCGCACTGGTTCTCTGTGAGAACGCAGCACCAGAGACATCAAAGCGGCGTGTTTTGTCATCAGGCTCAGAGAAGGGCTCTGAGCGGCAGTCAGGAAAAGATGCCCTCCTCTGTTGCTCGTTTCCCTCTCTCTGTTTGTTTCCCCTCTAACTCGGGGGATTCGGCTAGTTGGTTTCATCGTTGACTGTATTTGATGACCCCCCCCACTCTCTTTTCACCTCTACCAGCTCTGTCTCCTCCCCATCATTCTTTGGTCCATCTGTCTGCTCTTCTTCTCCCTCTGGACATATACTGCACGAGCATTTCGATACAAACCAGGCCACGAGCCACTTGCATGTGTCTGTGTGTGGATTTCTGTGAATGACACAGTTCTGTAGAGTGTCGTGCACATAGTAGATAAAATATGAATGATGGAGCTCTATCACAGTGTGCCCGTTGTGCAGTCAGTGGCACGCACCAGCCATGCACCAACGCCTGGAGGGCGTTATCACCATGGCAACCATACTTTTCACACCCCTCTCAATATACAGTATCTGTTCGTGTGGTGCTCCATATTAGTTTACCCTCAGCTTAAAAGTGCTTAGAAGCTGCCTTAAACAAAGACACTGCCACTCTCTCTGTCCTCATCCTTCTGATTATATTCTGCATGTGTTATTTCCTCCCTGTTTACCCGACATGACCGGTGGGCTACAGTTTCTATCTCGTGGTAAAGCGGCTTCAAAGGACCTCATTTTGGGCAACCTCCTCTTGGTTGACTCCAGTAGCAGCAGCAGCAGCAGCAGCAGCCGAGGCCTGACGACGTGGTCAGACTGACTCACAGCAGCAAACACACATCCTGCTGTGAATAAAAGTCATGGGCCTTTCAAAAGACCACAAGCTTAAAATGGATGATTATACCCTTCCATTTGAACACATCGTATTTAAAACCAGTTTTTCTACAAGCTTCCAACAGATAAAGTGAAAAACAACAGATACTATGCAACAGCAATCAATATAAAAATGAAAATAACGTGACAATACAGTAAAAAAAACCTAAACAAAACAGCACTCTTGACGTGCCCATGGCTACCCATCAGTGCTGACTCACTGGGCAAACGTTAACAGCATCAGCATCTGTATCACTGCCACCTTGTTAGGAAGTGGAGCCGCTCGCTCCTCAAATAAGCACCAGCACGCTGTCAGGGGATGTCAGGGAACAAAGCAATATGCACTCTGTTATGAAACTAGAATAATATCGCTTCCACACACACACACACACACACACACACACACACACACACACACACACACACACACACGTATCCATATGTGCCTGTGCAGAAACATATGTTGTCATGTGACGTATGCTCGAATGTACGCAGACAGGCACACACACACACACACACAAGCCTTGATTTGAAAAGTTAAATGAAATGGATCCCTTCTCCACAGAGAGTCTGTGTCTAAGATTAAACTTGTTTTTTGTACCCCCGTCGGTCCATTTAGAGACCGTGGGGGGTAAAGGAGTATGACTCCCATCTCCACACACACACACACACACACACACACACACACACACACACACACACAGAACTGCCTCTTCGCTGTTTATTGGGTATTTCGTTGATGATGCTGTTATATCAGCTGTGACTCTTTTTGGGCTGTTGATCTGTGGCTATTAGGAGTCTAAATGGATTCTTGGATGTTAATTGCCATGAAAAGGCAATGAAGGTAGCTTTTTGTTTGTGTGTTAACTCCAGGCGGTGCTAGACCTGCATGCAGCCTAAATTGTAATTGCTTCTAATAGGTTTTTGGTTGGAGATTCGTCATAGTACTGTTGTCTTCCCTTAAATCCCTTTCTGACTACCGTTGCCTATGGCGAGATATGATTTGGAATATTAATGGCTTGGGATTGAAATGTGATGGTAGCCTGTGGGGTGTAATTAAAGTTGTTTGAGAAAATCATGCAGAGTTTGGATCAGACATGGAATTAGCTGTTGAGTTAATCAAATAGAAAACAATGAAGAGCAGCGTGTTTCGTAGCCCGTTTCTCATATTAAACATCCCATTGCTGATTAAGGGTGAGTTTATAGATTAAAACAACATATGTCTTGTGTGGAAAGAATGTTAAGAGCTTAGTTTGAAGATGTATGAATGATTGAATGAATCAGTGCCTGTCAGCATGGCACTGTAGGTTTGAAGTTAGCTTAAGAGTATGGAGTCTGTCAAAGAATGACAGCGACTCATTAAGACAGCGTTTTTTATTCTTGTGAGTCAGCGCTGTACTTATTCAAAAGTAATCTCTAAATTCTCTAATCTCTAAACTCCTCTCTGCCTCATGCCCTTTCTCTCATACCACTTTGTGTAGCTCACAAATGCTCCCTCCCTCCCTCGTCTTTTAGTTTCTTTCCTTTGTTACTCATTACCATTCATAAGATGCTAGTCCTCAGGGAACAGACCCCCCACTTGCTCGCTCTGGATGTCCGGTGCTGCAGCGAATCAGCAAATTAGTGAGTCAGCAAGGTCTCATTATAGTCGCTGAAAGACTGATAAAGTGCAGAAACAACACCGTGCTGGAGCTCGGGGGACATGTGAGGCATGCACACGGATATTCACAGACTCACAACAACAAGCATGCACAGACAGACTCCTCTGGTGTTCCTTATCTGTGTCCTTGGGCTCAGTGCATGTCAAGGGAAAGTCAATGTTGTGAGCATGCTCAGAGCAGTGTGTTAGTGTATCTCTTCTAGTATGTAGTGTATACTTGTGCAGAGCATCAGTAGCTTTGAAGTAAAGAAGATAGAAGTCTAACTCAAGAATTGTCGTTTATAAATCTGCCGACCAGCTGGGAAACTGTTGCTGCATGAACCTCTTCTTTCCGTCAACAAAATGAGCAGTTGAGGTTTTCTTTGAACAAGGCATTCAGCCCCTAAACGTAGAACGATGCCACTGGAGTGAAAAAGAGCAAGTGTGCTCAATTGACTTGCATTATGACTTGGAAGTGAATTTAATGTTGAATAAAAAATGATTGAACTCATCCGCGTGTCTTTGTTCCCAGGTGTCATGTCTGCAAGACTTCTTTGGCGATGAGGACGTTTTTGTGGCGTGTGGACCGGAGAAGTTCCGCTACCAAGACGACTTGATGTTGGATGAGAGTGGTGAGGCTACTAGTAGGTGGTCTGACATTTCCATGCTGACATTTCACATCTGACTTCCATTATTTCTTCCTGCCCCCAGCTGTGTTTTCTTAATGTTGTTGTTTTTGCATGCTGTTTTCTGGAGTTGAGCATTTGATCATTTATTGCAATCACATTGTGATAAAATAGTTGACTTTTTGTGATACATTATTCTGTTGTTTCAATAATTCTAAAAATTAGGGAGTATTAGTTTCAAGAATGTGGTTTTACATTACCTTCTAGTTCAGTGCATTCGGCAACATTTTGATGATTAAAAGGTTGTCCACGCTGCCACACTTCTCAAAAAATGAATCTGCAGGACTTCTTGTAATTGACAAATCTTCCATTTCCTGTTTCCAAGTTCAGACTATAATGTATTCATTAAGATGTTTGTGTGCAAGTTCTTGTTTTTAAAACCCTTATCAATCGAGAAACTTTATTACCCTACAACCCTTTTATTTTAGTACGGTAGCAAATTGTATAACTGTGTATGAAGGCCAAATCAATGTGCTACTTTCTGTTTATTAGCCAAATATGAAAGATTTTAAATTATTAAATGAAAACAAATCAAACTAAGATATAATGTGGAATACAATACACATCGCTATATGTATTCCCTTATTTTGTGTGTATATTTTGTGTTATAATTAAATGAAAAACATTTTAATGCGACATGGAAAAGTCACAATTTAAGACAATTCAGATATTAAAGACAAAAGCGTAATAAGTATGTTTTTTCCCATTAATTATAACACAGTAAATTAAATAAAAAGGAAATGCATGTAAAAATGTGCACTAGTTTTCATTTTATTTCTATTTGTTGAATTTTTATTGAGTCAATTTGAATCATCTTTACTCTCCAAGGTGACTTATTTTTTCTTTCTCTCTCTGTTTATCCACATCCATCACATCTTTTCAGTCTCACAGTAGTCCTTGTCTACTCTGTACAGACATGTCTCTCTGGTTCAGGTGGCAGAGGTCTGTGTTGGCTGTCCAGTTTATTACGCTCTGTTGTCTCTCTCCACTCCTCCTCGCTTATCCTCTGCTGCACTTAAGCCATCGTCTAACCTCGTTGTTCCTCTTCCTCTTCTCTGCCAGTCTCCCCGCCAAGGTCTGCTGAGGAGACGTCCTGTCCTCACTTTACCCATCTGTGTTTCTCTGTCTGTCTCCCCACCTCTGCATCGCCGTCTGAATACTCCTGCCATTTAGTGCTCATTTGTATTCTCACCCTCTCATCTTGCTTCCTGTCTGCTACATGAGTTAGTGTGCTCTGGCTTTTGTTCAAAGGTTTATTCAATTAATTTGTTTCCCCTTCATCCATTAAACAATATTCATCCCACCTGGGTCGCCATCCTTCCCCTCTTTCCCCTTGTTGTCTCTCTTTCTCTTTTTTCCTCCCTCTCTTTCCCACTACTCTTTTTTCATTTGCAAACTATAATGGTTAGCTGCCTCCACTATATCATTTTTTGTTATCTTCTTCTCAGTACAGCAACCACGTCCTCTGTTTTCCCTGCTGTTTGTGTTTGTGTCTGCTTTGAAGGATATAAAGGCTATTTTCTTGAAGCATTTAAAGTACAAGTCTGCATTTCATGGCAGAATACTTCATAATGGTTTGACAAGGTCACATGGGCTCCACCAATTGTGGCTAACATTTTATTTTCTGAAGTGAGAGGAGACACCCTGTTTATCTTTTATGGCCTTCA